CCCCGAAAGCAGCAATCTCACTAAAACCGCTTCCAGGAGGCATTTTCCTTCCCACAAAGACAACCTTTCCGTTAATTATTGTCCTTAGGTGTTGTTCTGTGCCAATCTTAAATGTCAGATCCCATACCTTTGTCTAAATCGTAAAGAAAATTTGTAATGAAAACAAATGGAAAAATGGCTGAAATCACATAGCATCATTCCTAGTCAAATAAATGAAAGTTCCTCATCCCAAGTTTCTCCTTTCAAAGTCATTCAAATACTGTATTTCCATATAGAGTCTTTAAACAATTCAACAAGTCTTTCTTGAAGTACTTCTAGAACAAGTGTCATGCCCTAGGAGCAATCACGGAGACCAACCCTATTGTCACTAAGCATGGAGTCCTTCTTTTCACAGGGCAGATGTAATCCAACCACTGCGTATTCCATCAATTCTGCTAAGTCCTTTTGTATTTATCTATTAACGTCTTGGAGAGAGGCAGTAAAGCAGGGAAGAAGGGGGGAGGTGGGGGAGGGGTGGGAGAGGGAGAGAGAGAACCTTAAACAGGCTCCACGCTTAGCGCAGAGCACAGCGCAGGACTCGATCCCACAACCCTGGGATCATGACCTGGGCTGAAATCAAGAGCTGGAAGCTCAACCAACTAAGCAGCCCAGGCCCCCAACCGTGTTTATGTGGCTCTAACAAGGTGGGGTGGCATATTCCTTGGGAGTGAATATTTGACTAAGACCCAGAGGCTGGAGGGAGTCATCCTGTAGCTCTGGACGAGCAAAGATTTGCAAGGGAGGCAACAATGTGCACTCAGCAGGGCCCTGTTCCAGACGGAGGACCAGCGTGTGTCGAGGCCATGAGAGAATACGGCACGTGTCCCAATCCAGGAAATGGAAGCCAATGTAGCCAAAGCATCTGGAGTTAAGAGGGAGAGTGATGGGGGATCACATGGGGGGCTTCGGGGGAAGAGGTCACGCAATTAGGGTTAGATGGTTAATAACCACTTGGGACCTTACGATAAAAATAACATGTGTAGTTCTACTGTACCATAAAACACTATTTACAGACAGTTTTGAGTGTGGAGGGAGAGAAACAGAGTTAAGCACAGAAGAATAACAAAAACCAACAAGGAAACACATAGCTTGGTCTGCCTTGGCTTAAAAGATACCACGAGTAACACCCATCAAACAGAAAAAAGAGCCACCTCGGAATAGAAACATCTTGATCAGAATTAACAACCCAGTTGTTAAAGTGGATCATTTCCTAAGCCTTTTAGGCTTTCTATGCTGATTATCTCTAACTGCCTGAGTTCTAGGAGCTGAGGACTGACCCCTTCTTTCCTACAGCTGTAAAATAAAACTGGAAAAGTTGAATTGCACAAAAAAATCCATTTGAAATACAACTAAGAGAACACATACTGGGGCACCCGGGTGGCTCAGTCGGTTAAGCGTCCGACTTCGGCTCAGGTCACGATCTCACGATTCATGGGTTCAAGCCCCTCGTCAGGCTCTGTGCCGCCAGCTCAGAGCCTGGAGCCCGCTTCGGATCCTGTGTTCTCCCTCTCTCTCTGCCCCTCCCCCGCTCATGCTCAATCTCTCCCTCAAAAGTAAACAAACAAAAAAATTAAGAAAACGCATAGTAAAAAATGTCAAGACAATGACTTCTGGTTATTGGGGTTCGTTTAATTTCTTCAGGAGGCTCTCGTCAAACAGGCCATGCAAAATGCGCCCACCCAGGGCATGGACCGACCCGACGGCAGTAGGTGACACAGTGCGCAGTCAGCATTCTGCCCTTTAACGAGCAGATATCCTATTAGAGAAAGCTCACCCACCACGCTTACCATGTGAGGGATGAAGGGCCTTACACGGGGCAGTGGACGGATCAAAACGCTTATTTTGGCAACAAATGCAGATTATGCTCTGAACCAGCATTTACTGACACTCTCTAATTATGTTATTTCATTGATAATGGGCTCGTTGCCCGTATGCAAAATAACTGTGCTACACTGGATCAAACATAACCTTACTGTATCAAATGTACTTAAAAACCCAAGGCACACACAGCTTCTAGAAAAATACTCTCAAATACAAACAGCAGAGCTCAGCTCTGTCCGTGGAAAGTTCTGCTTGTCACCGTATCAACACTGTAATTACAGAGAACATGACAGCCTCCAGTCGCAAGCAGCCCATCTGGTTTAGAGAGATGAACGGCGGTGCCATGTGATTAGCGTGGCTGGTCTGCAGCGGGTCTAGAACATCTGACAGACCCCAGCGAGGAAGACAGCTGACACAAAGTTAGAACTGCAAATGAGGAACTTGAGACTATGTGACACCTTTCAAAACAAACTTCTGGTAAATTCTATGTATATTTTGCCACAACTTAAAACAATATTGAGGAAAAAAACCTCTGAAAGTTTCAAAGTTGGATCAAGTTTAGCAATATCTTGAGGGAGCTTTTTAACTAAGTCAGGAGGCACGCACAAAAGACACAGAAAAATGTCAAAGCTACTTGGTCTTTGTCTCCTCCCAGCCCATTCAGGAGGGCCAGCCTACCGACCGACCAGGATCCAGCTCGGAGCACCAACTACACAGAGGACAGCAGCTGAATGGAGGGCGGGGGAGGCAACTCCGAGATAAGGATCCGATTCAAGGGTCACAATCAAAGTTGAGCAAGATGTTTTTCCTTTTTTCTTTTTTTAACTGCAGTTTCAAAGGAATATCAGAAGACTTGTGCAATCAGTCTCCAAAGACACAACACAGAGCAGGTCTTCCGGGACAACATTTCGGATGAGAAATCAAGGTCCCCAAATGAACGGAACACCCGTCTGGGGGTCTCTGATTTGCAACTATTCAAGCTATGCCATTGACCGGGTTTGCAGGAACCAAAATAGCAACTGTTTCAACTGCACTGTTTCCACCAGCAATATCCTGTTACACAGCTTTGCTGAGCGCCGCTCCTCACTCCGCCACAGGCACCAAAATATTCTAAGGTTTGCAACTCAACAACTGTGCGCACTTTCACTCCTTAGCTTAAAAGGAATGTTGAGCATACTGCTGAAATCACTTCAAAAACTGCCACCTTACAAGAAAGCCTGAAATTCGATTTTTCCACCGGGAAATCTGCAAAACCATCCTGTTCTTGCAAAGGGATAGAAAACTTCCTATAACCTGTAGAAACCAGGAAACCTAGGCATGCCGTATCGCAACTGCCAGAGAGAAAATGGTTTTCAAAGCACAGGGCCAGCTTAGGCCAGCTTAATCTTTCAAAGCCTCTTCCAAAAACCCTTGGACGCCGAGATACAGGCTAGCTTTCCAAAAGGACAGCAGAAGCAGTAAAACCTTGATGAGGCACCAGGAAAAGAGCAGACCTCAAGAAAAACGAAGAGTTCTTCGCCCCCATCCACAAACGGCAAAGATACAAAATTTAACAGCACAATCCCTCTTTGAGAGAAGACTGAATCCATGTGGCATGGCCAGCCACACACACACACACACACACACACACACACACACACACACACACACACTCGCTCACTCACACACACACACACACACACACTCACTCACTCGCAGCTACCGCCCTGCCAGGGGATGATGAAATGAGGAACGGAAATTAACATTTCAGGCAACGTCTCACATTGTTCCTTGAGGCCAAGGACTGCTGTTGCAGCCGCCACCGCCACCGCTTCCCTCCCACCCGCCCCCCAGTCCCGCCTACCCTCCCCCCAGACGACACCCCCGCGCCGCTGCCCCGCATTCCTGCCCCTCCGCGGGCCTACGCGCGCCTCCTGCACCCCCGGCGCCCCCACTCTCCCTTCACGACTCCCGTCCGCCCGCCCCCTCCGGCTCGGAGCCCGAGAACCGCCTGCTCCCATTTCAAAACAGTGATAATAATAGGGACGCTGGGAATAACAACTACAACCGACGCTGCGAACGCACCCCTCCCTCGGGTCAGAGGTCGGCGCACCCGCTCCCCAGGTGCCCGGGGCCCCCGTCGGCCCCTCACGGCCGCCCCGAGCCCTCCCAAGTCCCCCAGGCGCACTCTCAACCCCTCACGGCTGCCCAGCCCCCCCCCGCCCCCCGCCAGGCCCACCTGGAGCCCCCGTCGGCCCCGCGCGGCTGCCCAGAGCCCCCGCAGGCCCCTCACGGCTGTCTGGGCCCCCAGGCCCACCCAGAGCCGCCGTCAGTTCCTTCACGGCTGCCCCTGGCCCCGCAGGCCCACCCAGAACCCCACCCGGAGCCCCTCACGGCGGCCCCGGGGCCTCCAGGCCCACCCGGAGCCCCTCACGGCTGCCCGGGCCTCCCAGGCCCACCCGCAGCCCAGCGTCGGCCCTCCACGGCTGCCCGGGCGCCCCCCCCCCCGCTTCCGGCCCCCCAGGGG